TAAAATAAATATCAAAAATAGAAGTCTTTGTTTTACTATGGTTGCAAATATCAAAAAATTTCTATATGTGACACGGCACCAGAGTTAAGTTAGGGTTTTTCAAAATGCTGACACGCCGAGCTCAAAAGGTTCGCCATCACTGCTCTATCCACTGAGCCAAACTAGCTAGAGCAAAGATTCTTAAAGTGACAAAATTAGTGATGGGAACAAATCCCTGGTTACCAGTAGTTAAGAGTTGAGGAAGTAGTATAACTTATGACTTATTGGTAACATGAAGGATTTCCTTTGTAATGATACAACAGTTCTGTATGCTGACTGTGATCATGGTTACTTGAATCTTCACATGTAATAAAATGTCATATAACTACACACACACACAAGTACACATAAAGAGTGGTAAAATTTGATGGTTGAGGATCGACACATGAATCAAGAGGTCACCAGTTCGATTCCAGTCAGGGCACATTCCCAGGTTACAGGCTCTATTCCCAGTAGGGGGATTGCAGGAAGCAGCCTATCAATGTTTCTCTCTCATTGATGTTTCTATCACTCTGTCCCTCTCCCTTCCCTTCTCTCTAAAATCAGTAAAAACATTTATTTTTTAAAAAGTGGTAAAATTCAACTCAGATATGTACCTGAGTTAACAGTATATTAATGTCAGTTCCTGGTTTCCTTAGTTACACTGAATTAATAGCAGTATATCCCAACCGTTTCACCATTGTGCCCGTAAAGAAGCTTTTTCAGACATTATTTCCTAATCCCCGGGAAATGTTACTATCACAGATACACTGTATATCTGTTCATGTACTGTATGCATAATAGTGCTTTTATACATTGAAAAGTGATTTTTAATGTATAATGATTTTTCTGCCCCAACATCAATCTTTGCTCCATTAAAAGCAGTATCATGCTTACTGAAGACATGTACTATGATTATTTAAGATAGTATCATTAAGGAAAGTTGGAGAATACAGACATTGAAATTGCAATAATTTGCAGCATGATTTGTTTAAATTATGTAAAAATTAAGTTATAAAAAAAGAGTTTTAAAATGTATAAGGAAAAGCATAGGACCTAGTATAACCAAAACAACATTAAAATAAAAGAACACATTTGGATGACTTCCACTACCTGATGAGAAAGTTGTATTAAAAGCTACAGCGATCACAGTAGTGGAATAGTGACGTAATTAGGATAAGCAAATAGATTAACAAAATAGAATCCAAAACTACTTCTACGTGTATATATAGCCAATTTAATTTGACCAATGCACTAGGACTAGTCAATGAAAAAATAAAAGTGTTGTCAACAAAGACCTGGGTAAACATGAAAAAAAATCTATCTGAACCCTCTGACCCCCAACATAATAGAATCCACAAAAATTAATTTGCCATGGTTCATAAATTAAAACTATTAAACAAGCCATGATCAGAAGAAAGTGTTCATTATCCATATATATGTGACAAATTGAATCAAATATACAGGGTGTCCGCTCGAAAATGTATACACACTACATCTGTAGATTCTATTGCATGTTTTTCTGTTGCATTTTGAAAATGAAATGTATTTTAATAAACACTGCCTTTATAATTATTCAAAGTGTGTATACATTTCTTGGGACACACTGTATAAAGAACACCTGCATATTAATAATAAATATACAAACAACCCAATAAAAAACAGGAGCAAAGGTTTTAATGGACACTTCAAAAAGAAGATATACAACTTGTAAATACGTACATGAAAAGATGTTTAAAATCATTAGTCATTAAGAAAATGCAAATGAAACCCATGATATCATTTACACCCACCAGAATGACTAAAATTAAAAACACCGAGAACCAAATGTTAGGGAAAATGTGGAGAAACTGGAACTTTCGTAAACTATTGCTGGTGGGAGTGTGAATTGATAAACTTCTTTGGAAAACTGCTTGTTAAGTTATGAAGTTAAATATACACCCAACCTATTTTCCACTGCTAGGTATTCATTTACCGAAGACAAATGAAAATATATGGCCAGAAAACAATCTGTACGAGTCTGTTTAAAAATTAGAAACAACCTAAATGCCCAATTGAATACTACTTAGCAATACCAAAGAATTAAGTACTGATACACTCAACAAGAGTGAATCCTTAAAATTTTGTTCAGGAAAAAGAAGCTAGACACAAAACTACATTACTACAGGATACAAGAACCTGCAGAATTAATCTATGGTGATAAAAATTAGAACATTGGTTATCTATGCCAGTTGAAAAAGGTACACTTCGAAGGATGTCTTAATTTGGACATTAAATCGGAAATAACACACTTTAAAATATATAAGTAAATTCTGCTAAAGAATTTGGTAGCACATCAACCATTAATTATGATTTTATACATATTTCAGAACTATGTTCCATCCTACAAATATTATAGATATAGCACTTTTACTCATAAAATTACAGTGATTCCCTCAATGTCAATGTGATACACGTATGTTATCCATTTGTACAAGAGCCTGCAAAAAAGAAAAATCAAATATTGAGTTTGCTACTATATAGTCACATGAATTTATACTGAGATAAAGAATCAGAATAATGCCACCAGGAAAAATTTCCAAAGCTCTAACTTCTCAACATTCTATCATCACCTGAAAGTCAATTTTCACCTTTTCCACTGGCTGAACTTGTGAGCTCAGATTTTGCTTTGGGGCTCACGTGTCCCTGCAAATATGGCAGCACTAGATTACAAGGCTACTGACAACAGTACTTGCTTATGAATCCACAAAGATAACAGTGAGGCAAGTCAGAATATTACAGAATCTTTTACTGGGAAGAATTAATACCTGAAGGGCAAGGTGTGCCTTTTCAATAAAAAAAAAATGTTTTCATTTAGCTAATTTGATTATTTAGATACTGCCACTTTTTAAAATTTTAACTTCCTAGTTAAAATTTACTTGCTCATGAAGACATTTCTATGATAGTTTACTCGAAAGAAAAAAGTGTAGTAAATTTACAAGTCTTCTCAGTAGAACGTTTTGATCTCTCAGTCCTCTTTTTTATTTCATACACAGTCTCAAATTGAAGAGCCCCAGGCAGATGGTATCAAGTATAGTACAAGGCCAGAACTCTCAATCACTACCTTCTCACCAGGAAGCTAGATTCCAATTCTCCTTAAAAGGACAAAGATATGTATGCTTCTGAGCAGATTTTCATGTTCTTGTCAGCACCTTAATACCTTCTTGCTATTATGACAGTAATAAAATGAGGAAGGGGGTGGGGTGGGCAGAGATCCTTAGGGAAAATTAAGACAGTGATAAGTGTTCCATTTACCTTCTTTCCTTTAAATGATACTTGAATTCACACACACACACACACACACACACTCAGAAAATCAGCAGTAAGAGAGATTACACCCCTATCCCCAATATTCCAGCCTCCCTGTCTATGAAATCTCAAGATGAGGGCAAGGAATGGCCTATAGTCTTCATAACAGCCCTTTCAGATAAGTATTTTGATTCCATTTCGCAGATGAAGTGGATGCTCACAAATGTGAAAAAACCCAAGCCTCTGATAAAATGGCAATGTCAAGATCATGGAAGACAGGTCCCACGTCTTCTTCAACAGCACTATTACACACCTGAGATGGTGGCCAGTTTAAGGGATTTTAGCAAACAAGGTTATGAGAGCTTCCAGTTATCCTGAAGCATGGAAATCCTTAGATCAGTGGTTCTCAACCTTGGCTGCACATTAGGATCACCTGGGAATCTTTTTAAAATCCTGATTTCTGGGCCTCATCCTCCAGAAATTCTGTTTCTTTGTTATGGGGTGGAGCCACAACATTAGTAACAAAGAAACAGAATTTCCAGAGGATGCGGCCCAGAGATCAGGATTTTAAAAAGATCCCCAGGTGATTCTAATGTGCAGCCAAGGTTGAGAACCACTGCCTTAGATGATAGAACTGTTTGTTTCAGAAGCATAATTTTGAACAAGCAA